AAATGTGAAATAGAACCAAATGATTAGACACAAATCAAGGATCGCTCTGATATTACCCCCTCATATGCAGGTCATATATAACCTGTGAAGTACTGAGTGAGCGAGTGGGCTCGGTACCTGTCGAAAGCCTTGACTCTTCCGAGGAGCTTCTTGTTGTTGCGACAGTTAATGAGGACCTGAGTGTTGTTCTTGACCGACTGTGTGAGCACAGACAGAGGGCCGGTGTTGAACTCCTCTTCCTCTCGCTTCTGGAGCTCCTCTGGAGTCATCTCCGACTTGGGCTTTGTTAACAGACTCCTGACAAATGACACAAAACACCACCAGTTACAATGTGGATAATAAATACCAGTATGGTCAGAAGTGCGTGACGGTATTAATATGGTAGAGCAGCAATATTGTAAATGTTGTCTAACATCAGGCTTTATATTTTAATACTGTTGTGTTGTTTTCTAATGTTTTCTTTGAGTTTGAATTGATTTGCTTATATTGTTTTTTTTTGGTCTTTTGGACTGATTGTTTGTGTTAGAGAATAAAATAAAGCTTAAGTTCAACTTTAGACAACAAAGAGATGTACAGACTTTAAAAAAACAGTACATTGGTTCACTACACCTGTATCAGTATATGAAATTATATAGCTTTGTTTCACGTATTTCTATACATCTGTGTTGCTTATTGTGGGTTTTCTAATACAAGTATGGCTCGTTAGCATTAGGAGAGAGAAGAACTACTCAACACAAGTCAGACAACTCAACACTGCTGATGGTGTTAGCATTCAGCTAAGCTTATATCAATGAAACTGTGCGGATTCTGACTCGTAACCTTTCCACTTCTCACCAAAGCAGTTTGAAACGTGTGAGTTTGTCTTTTCATCTTTCTTCATGTGTAACAATAACGTAGTAGTAGTATCGCCGTGTCTAATAATAATAATAATAATAATAATATATAACTTAGCAGCGTGAAGACGTACAAAGGGCCTCGGTCCAGACTTCCTACAATGCTAACCAGGTTAGCATATAACTGTTAGCTCCTGCTGCTGTAAATGACCGGACTCCTAAAGGCTGATCATATATATACTTACATGGTTGCTGGTGTATGAACGCAGTTCTCCTAGATATCACCCCGCTCCTCTTTCTCTCTTTCTCTCTTTCTCTCTTTCGTATCTTCAACGATCCTACAATGCTGCACACTCGCGTGGATCCAGCTACTTCCGGGTCAACTATTACGCGCCTCAAAGTTTTGTAATAACTTCCGGGTTACTGCCATTAACAGTATATGTAAAGTTACTGCCATTAACAGTAAAGTTACTGCCATTAACAGTA